AACCTTCAAGTCAACAATACCTAGCTAGAATTTAACACTACAGATTTGTTCAGTTACTGTCTCTACCCATATTGTGCTCTTTAAGTTTGGGGAAAATCATTTGACAACAAACTTCACTTTCTTTATTTATAAAAGAAGAAGGCTCCCTTCATTTGGGAGGATTAACGTGTCCATTCTAAATATATTCACTGAGAGATTTCTATGTGCCAGGTATCCTGATGAAATACATTGGTAGACCAGACAAATGAGATCTTTGCCCTCATGGATCTGCTAATCATTAAAGAAAGCATTCTTTAATACAGTATGGCAGGTGTCACTAGAGGCATGCAGGATGCTTGGGAAACACTTAAGAAGGACACCTAACTTGGACTTGGGGATGGGGGTAGTCAAAGAAGATTTCTTGGAAAAAACGGCAGCCCAGCTGAGTTCTGAAGACCTATTTAGTCAAGAAAGAGGGGAGGGAACAGCATGCACAAAGGTCTAGAGGCAAGGGGCATTGAAAAAAAATATGCTGAATCCTTAGTATAATGTCTGGAATATAGACATTATTCAAAATAGCAGCAGCTTTTAGAACTGTTATAGTGTCCTTGGCCTCAAGAATATTAGATTTATCTCTGTATCCTCAGCATGAAAGCAGTTTCTGCTACAGAGTGGATGCCCAGTGTTTTACAGTGAATGACTGAATAAACAAATAAATGAGTAAATAAATGAATCGAGTAATAATCGTTAATTATTTCTATATGCTCCTAGCTACCAGTCCTTATCAGGAGCCATATTCTTACTCAGCCGTTGCCTAGAATAGTCTGATAGGCAACATTGTAGAGAGAGTTATTCTGCAGCCTGGTTCTGACTTGCGACTTGGGAAATTTTTCCTGGGTTCAGCTGGTATCACATGGCCTCCCTCCCCTCTAACCCAGGAGGGGCTGTGCTTTTTTCTCCTTATGACACTGATGCTACAAACTGAGGCCCACATAGCTGCTCTTATTTGAAAGGCACTTCTGTCTGAATGGTGTCTGTCTGTCATTTCACAGAGCTAGGCAATTTGTTATATTGCAAAAACAACATGGCTGCCTTATCTTCTGGGACCATCCCCAACTGTGGCTCATGGACCAACGGAGCAGTTTAGCAGGTGAGAGGGCATTAAAAAGAACAAGTTAAGGAAAGTCAGGCTAACAATAATAGTAAGGATTAACATTTGTTGACCACTTTCCATTTGACAGGCATTGTGTGTACTAACTGCTCCATATGCATCACCTCATTTACTCTTCCAGGGACCCTAGAGATGGATACGGTATGATCCACATTTTACAGATAAGAAAACTGGGGCTTGAAGAGTGATGTAATGTTTTTAAGTTAGGAGTAGCTGGGATCAAACCCTGTCAGTGTTAACAGAAGAGCTGGTACTCTTAACCTCTTAACCACAGTAACACAAGCGGGGAAAAAAAAAAAAAGCTTGCACATGCCAGCCACACCTGGGAACAAACTCAGGGACATGCCAAACTTTGTTCTCGTTGACTCTGAGAACCTATTAGGGCACCGAATAAAAATTTATTCAGGAAAATGAGGAAAATATTTTAAAAAATAGATTTATGAAGAGCTAGCCACCCGACCAATCCCAGTAATGGAATCATTTTTTCTATTTTGAACCACATCACTTCACATTGCACTTTATTAGTTTGATCTTTCTTAATTTGCAGTCGCGGCAGCAAAAGTGTCAGTCTCTGATAGCAGAGACAGAGTTTAAAGTTATTTCTGTCTCTGGAATTATAACGTGGCCCTTGAATTCTCAATTTTTCCGTATTTTGCAGAATTAGCTCCTTCTTTCCAAATCTCAACACCAGATGCTGGAAAGCAATGTAGCAACTACTAAGAAAACCTTCTTTAGACGCCTGCCTTCAAGTCCCCGTAGATGGCTGTCCTTCAGACCCATCACTCCCCCCACCCAGGGCTTTGCCCCTTTGAGGTTAGTTACACCCTGAACACGTTCCCTCAAGATTCACCTTGAACAGGGTTAATGTCCACCATTTGCTGAGGGCCTTTATTGGCCAGGCCCCAAGCAGTGCACTTCCCTTGCAGGACCTCATGTACTTTCTGTGGCCCACACAAGTCCTGTGCTCTGCCCCACCAGCCCTTTCATGTGATCTCCTCTTTGTAACTCTACCATTTTCCTCACTTTCGCTTTCAGCAGATCACCATGCCGCATACTTCTTACAGGAAAGGGAGGCAATGAGACCAGATCAGCTCTCCCTCCTCCTAATAAAGGGAGCTACACCTGCATGCATGCCCTCACCCCTCTTTGAAACTCAAAGAGGATCCCTCCTCCTACCCAAACCCATCCCCTCTCAACTCAAGGGCTCCATGCCTTTCATTATCCTTTCTTTCTTAAAATTTCAACCTCTCCCTCACCTCCCCGACAGTCTCTGGGTTAGAATCTTTCCCTTCCTTAAACACATACAGCCTCTCTTGAAATTCTGATCCATTCCTGCTTTTACCTCTCTTTCCTTTTCGACTGAGCCAAACTTCTCAGTTTCTCTCTTTACTTTCTCTCCTACCTTCCAGTCCTCTGTGATCTGTTTTCAATTCCCCCTGCTCCATCAAAAGTTATTTGGCAAAGGGATCTCCTAATCAAGTCTGTTGGTGAAATTTTTGAAAATATCTCATTGAGCATCTTTAAGATGCCTGACACTGTCAATCATTTTTCCTTCTAATAACCTCTCGGCTAACCTGACTTAGGAGACTGCTCTCTCTCCTTTCTTTTTATTTCTCTGATCTTACTGTCTCAAGCTCCTTCAGAGGTTCCTTTTCCTCTGCCCCCCGGGTGAGGGCCTGACCCACATCCCTAGCCCCATCTCCCACCATGCCTTCTCTTTTATTTGACCTTGTAAAGACTCAATTGTTTGGTATATTTTTACAATGAATACTATTCAGCCATAAAAAATAGTAATACAGTGCCATCTGCAGCAACATGGATGGATGGACCTGGAGATTGTCCATGAGTGAAGAAAGCCAGAAAGAGAAAGAAAAATACCACATGATTCCACTTACATGTGGAATCTAAAAAAGACAAATGAACTTATTTACAGAACAGGAACAGACTCACAGACATAGAAAACAAACTCATGGTTACCTCCGGGGAAGGGGGTGGGAAGGGATAAACTGGGAGTTCGAGATTTGCAGATACCATAACAATAGCGCGGGGAACCATATTCAGTATCTTGTAGTAACTTACGGTGAAAAGAATATGAAAGCAAATATACGTATGTTCATGTATGGCTGAAGCACTGTGCTGTACACCAGACACTGACACAACATTGTAAACTGACTGTACTTCAATAAAAATATATACATAACAACAACAACAACAAAAGACTCAGCTGCGTGTAGTCATCTACACACAGCACACAGCCTCAGGGCTCCATGCCTTTGCTCATGCAGTCCTCCCTTTCCAGGATGCTCTTCCCCTCACCTTGCCTGGCTAACTCTTCCTCATCCTGTAAAGGTCTGCTTGGACTGTACCTCTGTTCGGAAACCACCCTATTCCCTCTCTCTTTCTCTCCGAGTACGCACCCCATCCTGTGCTCCTAACAGATCATCAGCACCGTTTGTTTATGTCCTTTGTCACATTCTCTTATGGTTTTTATTTTGTTTTGGCCTCTCAAATACTCTCCATGGACAGCTCTGTGGATTCACCTCTGTGAGGCCTGACAGTGGCACATGCAGTGCAGGGGGTTCCTAGTCAATTAACTGAATTAGGAAGCTCAGCTGGAGCCCCCAGGGTCCGATGGGGAGCCCTGGACCCATAATCCGAAGTCTCCATGCAGCCAGGCACTCTGTTTTTCCTCTGCTGGCTTTGCTCTCTGTTTCCAGGTTGCTCGTGTCACAGGAAAAAGTCAGGCAACCACTATGATTAGCATGACCCAAACCCCCTCATCTAATCTCTCTGGGGCCTCAGTAACACTCAGAAAGTCTCACTGATCCTGGCTGACTCCCTATCACATTCCTCAAAGCACATTTTCCAACTGTTTCCATTTTTCTTAAGCCCCCAACCCCTTTACCCACAGCTCCCTCTTTGCTTAGAAGACTGAGGTCCTTGACTTCCTTCCCCTCCTGTTAAAAACCGCCCGGTCTCCTCCCAGTCTTTCCTCTCTCCTCCCTGATCCTTAAGGAAGGTCCACGCCCCTGCCTTGAGAAGGTACCCCTCCCCCACCAGTCCTAGAGATCTGACTCCCAGAATCTTCCCCTGGTTCCCACACCTCCTTCTTCGACTCCCCCAGGCCATCACTTCAGCTCATAAAGAGGTTCCAGTGTTCCCCAAGCAAATAAATGCATACATGGATAAACAACATGCTTCCTTCTCAAAATACCATCCCATATTTCTCTTTAATGGCTGCTTCCTCGCCACCTCCTGGGCTGAGAGTTTTGAGTTATATAAGTAGTCCGTGCTCATGGTAAAAATGTTAGAAACTGCACATAAGCAAAAAGGAAAAAAAAAATCTATTATCACAATTCCTCTGAAACAACTCTGTTATCACCTTGGAGTACATCTACCAAACCACGTTCCATGCATATATGTATATAAATAAACAGATTTTAAAGTAAAGATAAAATCATGTTCTACGTGTTGTGTTCTTATTTCACAGTGTACTTGGAGCAGCTTTCCACTGGGCCAAACCAGATAAACCAGGATCATTTCTCATCTCAAGATTCTTACCTTACCCCCACTCGCAAAGTTCTCTTTGCTACGTAAGGTAACGTATTCGCAGGCTCCAGGGATCAGTGCGTGTTTCTTTGAGGAAGGGGGCCTTATTCTGCCCACTCCAAGCAGTCAGTAGCCCAGAGAAGCGAGAGGGGTCAGAGTGACAGGTGCAGGGATTCCAGGCACAGGGAACAGTGGAGTTCTGACGAGACCTCAGTCCTTCCCATCCCCCAAGGCCCCCATGCCCATAAATATAAATCTATACTGTCTTTTTAAAACCACAAGTTTGCAGTTATGACGGTACCTCACGTTTGGTCAACTCCATCTTCTTTCCTTTTGGAAGACGCCTTTCCCCCACAGCATGTGATTCTGCTGGGTTTGTCAAGGAGGCTACACATGCTCCAGGCTGACCAATCACAGTACTCCTCACCTTTGTGCAGCGCAGTCGAAGGATGGGCGAGCACCGCAAACAGGACCACTAAGATGGTCGCGGGGAGGGGCCTGTCTGGATGCTGAGACCAGGAAGTCCTCTCTCTTGTGGAGACTATGAGCTCTAGAAATTCTGGAACCACAGGGGGACCATCCTTCCCATCATGCAGACAGATCCTGCCTAAAAACGAGGCCATCCTAGAGGAGAGGAGAGACACATGGGGAGAAAGAGAGAGAGAGACTGAGATCTCAGGATCAGAGGACATCATCTGAGCGTTTGGTTCTAGACCTGCCTAAAGCCAGACAATTTCTGGACTCTTCAATTGTATTAGCCAATACATCCCTTTTATCTTTCTTTGCTTGAACTTTGAACTAGTTTGATTCAGGTTTCTGTTACTTGAAATGAAGAGTCCTTACTAACATAACATTATTTCATAATATGAATGCATTAAAATCAAGTTAACCAAATTTCTGAATATCTGGCCTTCAGCTGGTCTCCAATTTGTACTAGTACTATTTTAATAAGACCATAGTAAATATCCTTGTTCACATACCCCTAAGCATATGACTGGTTATTTAGAATACGTTCAAGGAAATATGTTTGGAATACATTCTAATGTGTTCTTTAGAATATATTCAAAGAAACCGATCAACTTAACCTACTGCCATCTGGCTACAGCCTCACAGCTCTGCTTAAAATGCCCTCTCGTAAGTCATCAAACGTCTAATTGCCTTTTCCAACAACCCTTTTCTTCATCCTCAGCCTATTCAGCCTTTTCTTACTCTTTCCACCTATAAAATCGCCTTAGACTTAGACTCTTTCCTTGGCTTCTTTTCTTACTTCCAGGACTGAATTTAAGTGCCTATTCAGAAAAATTGGTAGGACAGCTGGGAGTACTGGGTCGAGACGGTTTTTGGTTTTCTTGTTTGTTTTGGTCAGGAAGAGGTAATATATTTCATTTATAATGGAAAATAACATGAAAATGAGTGGAAGCATCTTTTAGGAAAATCATTTGAATTCTTGTGAATATTGATAGATGTACATTTAGTCCCAAAAGAGTGTTTTCTTTTTTCCAGTTTTACTGAGAAATAATTGACATACATCACTAAGTAAGATTAAGGCACACAGCATGATGCTTTGATTTACATATATTGTGAAATGATTACCAAGACAAGTTCAGCTAACCACAACCCAGCTCAGCAGGAGAATGTGTGATCAATTAGCTATGCTTACCAATGCACTAAGGTACTGGGGGACAGGGAGCCAGGGGGGAGGGGGGAGGGCTGAAGTGGGAAGTGGTGAAGACTGTAGCAAGAGTCAAGCATTTGCAGTTGCTACAGCCAGAGGTTCTTAAACCAGGGGAAATAGATCAGGAGGTTCCCTGGGGGTTCTCAAGTGACCCAGGGGCTTCATGAATTCTCTGCAGTTGTATGCAAATATTTATCTGATTGTGCATTTTTCGGGGAAGAAAAAAATCATTGCTTTTGTCAAATTTTTAAAGCAATCTAAGATCCCCCAAAAGATTAAGAGCCATTTCTGTGGACAGTCTCCTGACCTATGTTTTCCTCAGCTGACCTTGTGGAGCTCATGGTTTGGAGAAAGAGAAAGTTAAGTAACCCAGTAATTATCGACCACCCTGACAAACGTGATGACTTCATGAAGATATTGGAGGTCCCTGAGAGATTCTCCAGGGAGAAACACAGCAGCTGCTTAACACTGCCCTTTGGGCCATTCCAGAATAACTTGACTGAGCAGGGAGGGTGGGCAGGCAAGTTATGAGGAGGTGCAGCTGCTCTTTGTGACACACATTCATCCTTTCTCTAATCTGTTCTCCCAACCCTCTCCCTTGCCCTTCGCCTCAGCTTCTCCCCAAACTACTCCCGGAAGTCAGCTCAGTGCATGACCAAGGCCTCCCTCCAGCTGTGCCCCCAAAGTATAGAAGTTTGTGACATCTGGAAATTTGCACATTTGGGAAACAGTGCTCAGGCCAGCTAGCACATTTCATTTTCAGTATGATTTCTTCTCTGCCCTTTCTGTCTGTTGCAGGCCTCTTAAATCACGGTGGCTCTGTCCAGACCTCCTTATCTTAGTGACTATCTCTGTTCTGCATTCCTTGCTTTTCCCCCACCCCAAGTTTAATGGAAAATGTTTCCTGTCAACATTTCTTCTGTCCGTTCTGGTGATTGTAACTCCAGCCATTTTGTTATCTTCAGTGAATTTCATTAAAAAAGGATGAGGATCCCGTGTTCCAAGATCACTAGTTTAGATATTAAATGAATCAAAATTGACCCTCAGGCTTCCTCACATCCTCTGGAGGCCTCCCAGAATCCAGCCTAATAACTGTTTTTATTTTTATGCAGTCCATGGTCACAATTCCACACTGTGCCTTGAGAGACCACAATGGATTCCTTCCAAGATTATAATTTCTTGAGACCAATTCAATGTCCCACTAAAATTTTAATCTGCCTCTTGTTACCCATGAATATTTATAACCCATCCTTTCCAAAGACCATTCGATCTTCCGCAGAGAATTTATATTTTAGATATTTTCTCCCCACATGGTTACACGGAGCACTGCAGCACACAGAAAAGGTCCATGTGTCTCAAGACCCTACAATTTGGTGCCTTTTCCTTCTAGACATTTGTCCTCTACAGAGACATGAGCTCTGAATTCAGACGACCTACACTCAAATTCTGCCTCTTATACTTCCTAACCGTGTGACTTTGGGCAAGGTGATCAGCATCGCTGAGTCTCCGATTCCTTTCTCACAGAGTGACTGACAACAATTGCATAGAGCTATTGAGGTAATTCAATGAGATAATACACAGAAAAGCACCTAGCCCACAGAAATTTTGCAATGGGGAGAGTGCCCCACCAAAAATATCCACATCTTGATCCGTGGAACCTGAGAAATAAATAGCACAGATATAATGAAGGTTAAGGACCTTCAAATGAGGGGATTATCCTGAATTTTCTAGGTGGGCCAAATTTAATTCTGTGAGCCTTTAATAGCAAAGAAGTTTCTCTGCCTCAAGGCAGAAGAGAGGCAGCAGCAGGAGGGATCAGAGAGATGCATGGATCTCTTTTGTGTCAGGCCCTGTGCACATTAATTACTGAATTTAACTCTTACAAGAACCCTATGGGGTAGACGGACATGTATACCATTTTTTATAGGTGTCTCAGTGAGATAATTTTGCCCAAATTAACAGCTGCTAGGAAGAAAAGCTGTGATTTGACTTTCAGTGAAATTTGAAATTTGTTGCCTAATTCTAAATGTATTGCACTTTCCACTGTCTTAGAGTGCTTCGCTTAAATACCACCTTTGGAAGTCATCACAATGGACTTCCGTCCAGACCTGTAGAAAGCAGCTCATACTCACAGCAACACTCTGAGGAAGGTTTTATTATTCTAACTTTAAAGAGGAGAAAACTGGCGCCCAGGGAATCGAAATGATCTGCTCAAGTTCACATAGTCCCTGAGAGACACAATTAGATTGGCGCTCAGGGTTCCTGACTACAAAAACACTCTAAGTGTTCTCTCCACCACACCACCGCTAGTTCCAGGCAACGTTGACGAACTAAATGTCGTGCAGTCTCAGGCTGGCTCTCCCTTTTCTAAAATTACTGCAAGGCCGTATTTCTAGCACCTCTGAGCCAGATTTCGGCTGTTGCTCTGTCTTAATCATATGTGCCGCACCTCCCGACACTGGGTCAGCTACAAATTACATTTGTGTCACACTGACTTCTTCAGATCACACACCCAGATAGGGGACGAAACAGATTCTGACAGCAGCTCCTGAAGCCTCTGGGCCCCACCTTCTTCTCCCTTCCTCCCCCAGCACAGGCAAAACCAGCTCCAATTCCCTTTTGTTTAAGGTCTTTTGGTCAATTTTTAATCAATGTGACTTTTTATATGTAAAATTTTATTCACCTTCTTTACTTCAAAAATATCACACCAACTGTTAAGAAAGAAATTAGACATCACATTTAATCCCATCACCCAGAAAACAGAAGGATGTTACTTTTAAACCCAAATCCTCCTCAAGTTAGCGTAAGGATTCTACACCTAATACTGTAAAAACGGATACATGAAGTGCATAATAATGTCTTCCTTTGCCAATTTAAGGACCTAGTAATAATTTCAAAGCAGTTTCTTGGATGTGATACACTTTCTTTCAAAAAAGAAAAAAAAATTTATTGAATTTTGTTTATTACGTTTTTTCCTTAAAGTCTCTAGGCTTACTTTCTAAATTTCATAGTTGTTTCATTAATTCTACTATTCGATGAAACAGGATCTACATTCCACCTTGAAGGTAAATCACCTTTCTGATCCTGACCTCTAGAACTACCTTAGCTTTCCTTTTCTTTACACACTTCTAATGCCCCTGGGGCCATGCATCTAGCTCTGCTGATTCTGCGAAGTTCCCGTTTGTTAGGAGCTCCCAGCCTGCTTTCCATCAAAAGTTACAACAGTGTTTTCATTACCTCCTAGCTCTCTATACTCCTTGGCTCTGGGTTCCTTGTGAACGGAAGCAAATAATAATGCGTGCAATGCACTTTCTGTTATTTTTGCTGTTTCTTAGAGTTTGACTTAATGCAGCATCTTCTGTTTCTGTAATTATATATAACAAACATTTTCTCAAAGCCCTCAGCCTCATACTCCTGACTCCCTCATTTTTCAGCAATCCCTGACCTTATTTCAGGATGCTTCAACTTAGGTTACTAGGGGTTTTTCACATTTCTCCTTTTCATAAAGTGAAAGCATTGCTTTTTCTGTGCTAACCTCATGGATATGGCCCTGCTTTAATTACCTGAGAAGTGAAGTATTTAATTAAATTTTATTTGGAGAGGGTGTGCCTAACTCTTAGTCGCAATAGAATCTATTGAATAGACCAGTTGATATTTATTGGTGATCTAGCTTGAGTTATTTATCATTTATTAAAGAATTCCATGTCTAAGGGCTATATGCCTAATGATGATAAAGACAACAGCAACATTTTCTGACTGTGTACTGTGTGCCAGGCATTGCTCTAAGCACTTTACAGATACTGATTAATTCATTGGAACAAATACATGATAACTTAACAGTCTATTTTACAGACAAGGACACTGAGGTACAGAAATATTAAGTATCTTGCCCAAGGTCACACAGCTAATAAGGGGTACAGCCACAGTCTGTACCCAGGAAAACTGGATG